CAACCATCAATAAGCCCAGTTGTGGTGTTTAGCAAGCAGGCACAGATGAAGTTGTAATGATGGTAGTTATTTCATGTCGAAGAGACTACTGTAAAGCATTATTTTATTAAAAGAACATGGAATTTAAAAGGATTTGGTGCTAGGATCTACAAATGAGGGAGAACATACACATCTTTTTTTTTTCTCTGAGTCTTGTGTTACTTCACTTAAGTATAACAGTTTCTAGATTGATCCATTTACCTGCAAATTTCATTATTTCATCTTTCTTTACTGCTGAATAAAACTCCATTGTAAAATGTACCACATTTTTGTTAACCACTCATCAGTTGAGGGACACTTAAGTTGCTTCCATCTTTTAGCTGTTGTGAAAAGAGCAGTAACAAACACAGTTGTACAAGTGTCTCTACAATAGGATGATTTCTTTGGGTATATGCCAAGGAGTGGTATAACCAGGTCATATGGTAGGTTCATTTTTGGTTTTTAAAGAGTTCTTTTTAAAGTATTCCCTTACAATGTTTTGGAATTTTTTTGGGTGTCTGTTGTGATGTTTCCCCTTTCATCTCTGATTTTGTTGATTTGGATTTGCTTTTTCTTTCTTTTGGTTAACTGGGCTAAGGGTCTGTCTATTTTGTTTAACCTATCAAAGAACCAGCTCTTAGATTCAATGATTTTTTAAAAAACATTTTATTTATTATTTTTATTTTATGTGTATGAGTGCATTGCCTGCGTGCATGTATATTAGTGTACCACGTGTTCGCAGTGCCTTTGGAGGCCAGAAGAGGAGGTTAGATTCCCTTGGAGGAGTTAAGGATGGTTCATAGCTGCCATGTGGGTGCTGGGAATTGAACCTGGGTCTTCTGCAAAAGCAGTCAGTGCTCTTAACCGCTGAGCCATCCACCCCCCCAACATTCAATGATTTTTTTTTTTTTGAATTGTTTTGTTTGTACGGCTCTAATTTTTGTTATTTCTTCTCATTTGGGGCTGGTGTTTCTTACCTTTCCAGTGTTTTGAGTTGTATTGTCAAGTCATTTACATGTGCTCTTTCTGATGTTTTAAATGTAGGCACTAAGAGCTAGAAATTTCCCTCTTAGGACTGCTTTTGTGTGTCCCAGAAGTTTTGTTGTATTGTGTTGTCATTTTCATTTTGTCCCAGGAATACTTTTATTTTTTTAATTTCTTCTTTGACTCATTCATCATTCAGGAGTGTGTTGTTTAATCTCCATTAGTTTGTGTAGTTACTAGAGTTTCTTTTGCTGTTGATTATAATAAGCTTTATTGAGCCATGGGTTTATAAAAGGCATGGAATTTTTTCCTTTTTTTTTTTTTTTTTTTTAGTTGTTGTTGAGATTTGTTTTGTGTCCCAGAATGTGGTCAATTTTAGAATAACTTGCATGATTAGAATAACTTGCATGAGCTGCTAAGTAGAAAATGTATTCTTTGGTCCTTGGGTGGAATATTCTGTGTATGTCTGTTAGGTCTATTTCATGTAATATGTCATTTAATTCAGTTGTCTCTCTGTTTCTTTGTACAGTTGACCTGTCTTTTGAAAACAGTGGGGTATTAAAATCATCTAGTATTACTGAGTTGGGGTTAATCTCTGTTTTATAGTCTTGGAGTACTTATTTCATGAAATTGGGTGCTCCAGAGTTTGGTGCATAAATGTTCATGAGTGTAATATCTTCTTGGTCAGTTGTTCCTTTGATTAAAATCAAGTGACTCTATCAGCTTCTTAGGGCCATTTGCTTAGAATATTTTTTTCCATCCTTTCACTCTAAGATAGTGTCTATCCTTGAAGATGAGTTTCTTGAAGACAACAAAAAGATGTTTTTTTTTTTTTTTCTTGATCCATTGCACCAGCCTGTGTCTTTTCACAGGGGAGTTGAGGCTATTGATATTTAGTGTTATTATTGAAATGTGTGTATTGTGTACTGTCATTTTAATTTCTTTGTGTTTGTGGCCCCATTTTGTGTTTCCGTTGTTGTACCTTTCTTTGTTTTCATTCTGTAGCCTCTTGGGTCATTCTTTTCTTTGGTTCTCTGTATTGCTTTGAGTAGTCTCTGTAGGGCTGGTTTAGATGACATGAATTCTTTCAGCCTATTTGTGTCATGGAAATTTTTCTGTTCCCCTTTGACATTGATAGATAGCTTTGCTGGATAAAGTATTTGGGGTTGGCATCCATGGTTGTTTAGAACTGGGAATGCTTTGCTCTAGGCCTGTCTGGCTTTCATAGTTTGCATTGAAAAGTCAGCTGTAATTCTGATGGGTTTCCTTTATATGTAACTTGTTGTTTTTCTCTAGCAGCTTTCAGTACCTTCTCTTTGTTCTGTGCATTTAATGATTTTGCTATGATATGTCACGGGAACTGTCTGTTCTGATTATGTCTTAATGGTGTTCTCTGTGCTTCTTGAATCTCTATAGGTATATCTTTCCTTAATTTAGGGACATTGTCTTCTGTGATCCTATTGCGATATGTTCAATGCCATTGGCTTGAGATTCTTCTCCTTCCTGTATGCTTATAATACATAGATTTGGTCACTTCATGTTGTCCCACATTTCATGAGTATTCCATTCCTGTGTTTTTTTCAAATTTTCCATAACCTTTGCTTAAAGAGTCCAGGTCTTCAACTTTATCCTCCAATCTTGATGTTCTGTTTTCCATTTCATTCATTCTGCTTGTGAGACTTTCTCCTGTTGTTTCTACTTTGTTTATTGAGTCTTTCAGTCTGGTGTTCCTTTCCATTTGGGTTTTCTTCACTATTCCTATCCCTTCAGTGAATTCACTTTTCAAGTTATGAATGTTTTTGATATTTCATTAAACTGCATATTTGTATATTCTTGGGCTTCCATCATAAGTTTATGCCTTTCCTCTTTGAGTTGAGTTGTTTGTGTTTTCTTGAAGTTCTTTGATCACGTTCATGATTGTTTAAATTCTGCATTCTGGGGTTCTTCAGGGTGGCTCTCGTTGCTCTGTACTCCTGTAGGACTCATGGGTTTGGGGGGCATATTTTTCTCATTTTTCATATTGCTTGTGTTTTTGCTTTGCCATTTGGGCATAGGGATGCTCTTTGTCACTTATGTGTCCAACAGTAACTTCTACTCTGTTTTTCTTTAATTTTGTTTCTGTTAATATTGTTTATGTAGCTTAGTTACTTTTTCAGGTATGGAAGATAAATTGGTGAGCATTTCAAGTTCTTGCAGGGTAGTAGACTGGCCAGAGTCCTGGCTGAGTAGGTCTGTCTGCCTGATCCAGAGGCTGGGAAGTTGTTGGTGGGGGGACTGCCTTGGGATGGACTTAGGGATCTATGCTAGGGTGTTTAGTTAGTCTGGTTTAGGGAGCTAGTCCTGGGATCTTTGGTGAAGGAATTGGAGCCTGCCTATCAATTTTCAGCTTTTATAATGTAAGCAGTGTTTGAACTGTGGTATGCATAAATGATGGTGCTAGTTGGCCAAAACAGAATCCATTCCAAAGGCCAAAAATGTCTAAAGTATTTGGGAGCTCTTATCTAATCCTTAAAAGATTTTAGGGTTACTGCTTCAGAGGGGGTAATGTTAGAGAAGCAGAAAGCCCCATTTAAAAAAAAAAAAAGAAGGAAGAGTATATGAAGTTATCAGAAAAATGTGATGGGGAGACATGGGAAGAGTTGGAGGGGAGGGAGTGGGCATGGATTTGATCAAAACACCCTATACGCATGTATGAAATTCTCAATAAATTATTTTTTTAAAAAGAAAGTTAATATACTGAAAAATAGATGCTGATTTCTTCTTCACTGCAAATATTTGGTGTGGGCTATTTCCCTTCTCCCAGGTTTTTTGTTTATTGTTTTTAGCCGCCATGCATGGCTCCAGAACCTAAATGCAGGTTTTATTGATCTGTGTCTGCCTAACCTCGGCCCTTTACATTTACCGCTTACATTTAGAACATGCTAATGAATAATGTATCAGTACATATTGAATATATATTTCTCATTTGATAGTTTTTATTGATAAGAATCCTCTCTTGGTATGCTTCATGATTAGAAATGGGAAGAATTTGGGGCTCTGTAGATCCCAACCTTGTCTTGGCGGTCATTTACTTTTCAGTGACTTTGGGTAGGTCTTCTCCTCTCTGCGTTGTTAAAGGAGTGCAGTCATTTTGGTATGTAGCTGTTGAATGAATAATATATTTAATATCTAGCCTAATGATTTCATAAGCATTGATAAGGGTTTTGTTTGCTTACCTGTTTTATCTTTTTTTCTATATTTCGATAGTTATTTAGATCCCCTCCCCTATCACCACCCCTCCCCAATTTCATGTACTCTACTATGTGTGTGAATTAATTAATTAATATATGGCCTATCGAAATTTGTGTCCTGAAATGCCCTTCGGTGTAAGTCCATCTACTGAAGCCTAGTTAACCTATTGGGAGTCACATCCTTTAAAAAAAGACTGACTCTTTTTTTAGAAAAAAACCAGCAGCTGTTGGTTGCCATTAGTTCCTCAGGTAGGGATGGGGTTTCTTACCCACCTCCCCACATCTGCACAAGGATTTTGTCTGGCTTGAGCTTAGGTGGTAGTTGAACATGTTGTCACCATTGCTGTGAATCCTTTGAGTAAGTTCCCAGCTGTTTAGAAAACTGTTTCCTTGTGGTCATTCACCACCTCTGGCTCTTAGAGTATTTCTGCCCCCTCTTCCACAATGATCCCTGAGCCTTGGGAGACAGAAGTTTGATATAGGTATCATATTTGGGGATAATCATTCTGAAGTCTCATTCTCTGCATGTTGACTACTTATGGGTCTCTGTTAATCACCATCTGCTGCAGAAGGATGCTTCTCTTGTGAGAACTGAGAGATGCATTAATCACTGCAGGTCTGGGAGAGCTTGAAGGTCTAGGCCTTGCACATATCCTAGTGAACAAAGCAGGCCTGAGAGCTGAGATGGTGGGGCTTGGGAGGTCTTTGGATAAGCTGTTTGCTCTCTTTTTAAGGAGGCTGCTCTATTTGAATTTTTTCCCCTTGCAGATAACAGACAAGAGAGTATCTAGAAGACATGCCATTCTTGAGGTGCTGGGTAATCAGCTTCAAATCAAACCAGTAAGTATGTTATTGGTTTATTTTAACCCTTTGTCTCTCACCCTTTGAGTGCCTGACTAGGGGTGCCTGTACTAAGTTTATGAAAATACGTAATTCATGTCAGAATGTATTCTTCTCATACTTCTAAGGTAAGTATCTAAATATTAAACTGTACTTCTCCTTAGGACAAAGCTACATTTGAATAGTTAAAGTTAATGGAAGATGACTTCCTGTCTCTGTATACATTGTAATTTTGTTTATAACTGGATATTTCAAATAATTTCCATAAGAATACCTGTAACTTGGGATGGGGAGATGGTTAGTGCTATGCAGTACAAGAACCTGAGTTCTGATCTCAAGCATACACTCAAAAGCAGGCCTGGCTACCAGTGCCTGTAACTCTAGTGTGAAGGGGAGCAGAATAGCATCCCTGCAGCTTGCTGGTCAGTTAGCCTAGCCAAAAAATGGTGAGCTCCAGGTGCCGTGAGCGAGTAGGGAAGAAAGAGGTAGATGAAGACCTCTGACATCCTCTACTGGCTTCTGCAAGGGAATGCGTGCACACACACACTCAGAAACACAAGAATGCCTCTATTTAGTGGGTGATTTTACGGGGAGAGATAGGGTAGTAAGTAGTCACTTCAGTGTTACAACATTGTATCAACAAATTTCTATGCCTCTTTGTGTAGAGCTGACTATTTCTTTAAAAAAAAAAAATTATGTGTATGCATGTATTGCCTGCATGTAGGTAAGTGCACCCGTGTCATGCAATGCCTGCAGAGGACAGAAGAGGCTGTCGGATCCCCTGAAACTGGAGTTACAGACAGTTGTTAGCTGCCATGCAGGTGCTGGGAATTGAACCCGGGTCTTCTGCAGGAACAGTCAGTGTTCTTAAATGCTGAGCCATCTCTCCAGCCCCAGAGCTGAATATTTCTAAATTTGAGAATTTATTCAATTTCATTATTTTGAAAATAATTTAAATTTGAAGCATTCCCTTTAGAATAATAATTTTAATTATTTGCTTTAGAGTCGGAAGTATTGGTGCTTTGCAGGGAAGTTTTGGAGACTTCACGGTCATTCCTTGTCATTTTCAGACTCTGTTGTATGGGAGAATGAAGTATGTCTGTGGGGTTCATTCACTTTGAAATAGTTTATTTGGTGGTAAAATAATTAGCATGGAGCTAAATTTACTAGTTTTCAATATTTTTAGGCCTTGTGCTCTACCTCTGAGCTACAGCCCCACTCTGATGCCATTGTTCATGCACTTCTGCCTATGGTATGCGTAGTCATCTCATCTTACACAGATACTACTTCCTTTTACTACCCTTTATTGAACTGCTGCCATAGTGTCCTTCTAGTTCAGGTACTGGCACAATTTTTACGTAGAGCTAGATTTACCATTTCAACCTGGAATGAATACTATTTTTAGTTTTGTTTCATTCTCATTCTGTACTGAGTCTAGTGGTGTGAATGAGAAATGTCTCTTATAAGCTCCAAGTGTTCAGACACTTGGCCCCAGTTGGTGGCACTGTTTGTCAAAGTTTAGGAGGTGTAGCCTTGCTGGAGGAAGCACATCACTGAGGGTGGGCTTTAAGAGTTCATAGCTTTGTCCCACTTCCAGCTTGTCTCTGAGCTTCCTGTCTGACCTTGAAGATGTGTGCTTTCAGCTTTCTGTTCTGGCCATGTCTGCCACCATAACTCCCTGCCACGATGGGCTCCTATTCCTCTGGAACCGTAAGCTTAATAAACTCTTCCTTCTATAAGCTGCCTTGTTCATGGTGTTTTATCACAGCAACAGAAAAGTAACTAATACACTGAGTACCTTGATATGTCAGTATCTTTAGTCAGTGCCCTAGGGAGCTCTTTATTCATCAGCAGTTATTTATCTCTAGATCTTCTGTCTTCTTTTTCTTAGATGACATTTACTGGGTCTTAAACTTATTGAATACAGAAAATCCAACCAACCTTTATGTCTCTAGTATTTACTTTAATGCTTAGATCACACTAGGTTTCAACATGGTTGGATGCATGAGTCGCTGAGGTGAGAACTGTGTTACATATTTCTGGGAGTGGGTACCTCATGGACTTTTATAAGAGTATGTTACTTTCCAGTACTCAGTTTCTCACATCTTTCTAATGAACTGCCTTGGCAAAGAATAAAGGAAAAGGATAAAGCGGACTTCCATTCCTATTTCTGACAGGACATGATATGTTTAACTTGACTGTGTTCAGAATAGCAATGCTGGGTAATAATATACCTGATCTCCCAGTGAAAGATTTGGGACAGCACTTATATTTTGCAGGATTTATATTGACTGCTCTGTAATCCATGATAACAAAAGGAGGAGCTTATATTAATACTGTATTGTTTCATCAGCAGACCCTTTAAGTAGTCCTTGATGATTGGATTTCTGTTTTTTAAAGTTAGTTCTTGGAGAATTTCACATGCTGTGTTTGGATCATATTCATCCCTCCTATCCCAGCTCTTTCCAGGTCCATCCACCCTTTCCTCACCACCCAACTTTTTGTACTCTATTTTTTTCCTAAGATTTTATTTTTATTTTATGTGTATGAGTGGTTTGCTTATGTGTAAGTGTACCATGTGCATGCACTGCCCCAAAAGGCCAAAATACAGAGTCAGATTCCCTGGAACTGTAGTTAACAGATGGTTGTGAGTCACCATGTAGGTACTGGTGACCAAACCCAGGTCCTCTGCAAGAGCAACAAGTGCGCTTAAGCACTGAGCTGTCTCTCCAACCCCTCTTCCACCCCTTTTAAGAACCACTGAGTCCAATTTGTGCTGCCCATATACTCTTGGGTATGTGGCCATCCACTGGACCTAGCAGGGGAAACAATGTTAAAGAAAACTAACTGTCCCTCTCCCAGCAGTTATCAGTTACTAGCAGCTCCTCAGCTAGGGCCCACCTTCCATGTTCATGCTGGGATTTTTTTTTCCAGACTTAATCAGTTCTTACAGTAGGTTCGTAGATTTTTCTGGATTGTGTTTTTAATAATAAAATCCTACTGATAGTTACATATGCAGAAATCAACAAACTAATAGTAATTTTTATTCCACTTACAAAGTATTGATACTTTTTCATTTATTTTACATGTGTGTGTGTGCATGCATGTGTATGTTTGCACATGTGTAGAGGTCAGAGGACAACTTGCAGGAGTCAGTTCTCTCTTGTTACGTGGATCCTTGGAATTGAACTCAGGTTATTAGGCTTGGCAACGAGGGCCTCCACCCACTGAGCCATCTCTTCAGCCCAGTCTTGATTAATACTTACAGCTCTTGTTGGTTGTGCACATTTGCTTTATTTCAGTTTGGCTTTTCTTCAGATATTCTCTCTTTACTGAATTATAGCTTCATGTCATGACTTGTTTTAGTTATTTCATTTAGCTTTGTTTTCATGGTCTTCAGTATTCTATACATATTTTTTGTTGAGTTCTTAAACATATTTATAATTGCTGTTTTGAAATCATGGTCTTAGGCATCAGCTAGGGCTGCCTTTCTCAGGAAGCATTATGATTGGGGTGTTGATTTCTGGAAGAGACTTACTGTCTTGGCTTTTCATCTTGTGTTCTTGCAACAGGACTTGGGCACCTGGAGTTGTGTCAGTGGTGCTTCTTATGGGTTGGGTAGGTGATCGCACGTTTGAATGGATGTTTTTATCTTTGTTGCTGTTACCCACACTTGTCAGGTTTTGGCACAGCTGAGTGGTGCTTGGTGTTCAGTCCTGGGGCCACTTTGTGTTGATGTGTGAATGGGGATAAGAAGTTGGTACAGTGTACCTGGGAATGTGTTCTGAGTCTGAGGTTCCAGGACAGACTGTGTGTCCTGGAGCAGCAGGCGAACTGAGTGGCTGCTATGGGAATGTGTTGGCAGACAGGTCTGTGTTGAGTTTTGATTGGAGGGACAGGGCAGTTCCAGTTTGATGTAACAAAGAAAAGGTACTAAGGTAACTCTTGACTGGATCTGTCTGCGATGATGTACTGGGTGTACAACCCCAGCCATGCCTGGGAGTGTGTGGATGTCTGCAAGGGCAGGGGAAGTTTTCTACAACTGACCAAGCTGGGCCACTGCAGAGGCCATGCAACCCCACAAGGCCTGGGGGAGTGGGGTGGTGGAAATAGGCCAGGGTTCTCACAGGTCTAGGGGAAACTCGCAGGTATAGGAAGTGCAGGAAGCTGTAGGATCTAAGATGCTTGGGTGCTGGGTGGGAGGTGGGGGAGGGTAGGGAAGGCTGGGACTGGGGAACTCAGTAAAGGAACCAGCAGGTGTATAGCAGTACTCATGGGTCCTTGGACTGCATAACCAAAGAAGGCAGTGGAATGCTGGGGATAGGGACCTGCACAATCTCAGCAGCCTGAGGGCTGTGTCCCTCTCTCAAGCTCCTTCTCTTTAGCCTCATGGTTCATTTCCATTTTCCTGGATCCTGCAGTTATATCAAGATATATACTTACATCTAGGGATTTGGAGCCAAGATCCACAGATGAAAGACAATATATGTTGCTTGTTTTTCTGAGTCTGTGTTTCTTCATTTAGTATATCAAGCTTCTAGTTCTATTCATGTACCTGCAAATTTCATTATTTCATCTTTCTTTACTGCTGAGTAGAACTCCATTGTGTAAATGCACCACATTTTCATTATCCATCCCTCAGTTCAGAACATTTAGGTTGCTTCCATCTCTTAACTGTTGTGAAAAGAGCAGCAACAAACATAGCTGTGTGAATATCTCTATAGTAGGATAAGTCTGTTGGGTATATACCAGGGAATGGTATATGACTGGATCATATAGTAGTTTTATTTTTAGTTTTTTAAGGTTCTCCTCACTGATTTCCAGAGTGGTTGCACCAGTTTGCAATCCTACTACCAGTGGGCGAGGGTTCCCCTTTCCCTGCATCCCCCCAGCATTTGGTGTCATTTTCTGTCTTAATCGTAGCCATTCTGACTGGGGTTAGATGACATCTTAAAGGGGGTATGATTTGCAATTCCCTAATTACTAAGGATGTTGAATGA